TCAATGAATAAATACTTGGTTTGAAGCATGACTTTAAGAGTGATTATACCATGTCATTGAGATTATTTTTGTTGGTTTTTATATCATTTACATGTAGATGTATGTCAAATGCACAGACCTATGAATTTTGATTGGGCTCCTTCTGAATTTTGAGTTCACTATTTGTTTATGTGTGGACATTTGTATTGATAGCCATCAGCAGGTTATGGGTATGATTTATTCACCAGATAAATCTGTGTGACAGGTATATACATCATTTATAAATGATTGGAAATCTTCCAAATTCAACCAATTCAAAAAAATTATTGTAAATTGCAAGAACATAGATATAAAAGTTTTATTGTCTTCACCTGATTTGAATTCCTTTCATGTAAATCGTGAATGTTGCCATATAATTTAAATGGGAGCTGTAGACTATAGTTCTCATGACTTGTTAATAAACATAGGGGTTACTAATAGGAAAATGAATGATAATATACAGACAGAATTTTTTTGAATGACAATAAAGGAGGAAGAAGATACTGAGGGGGCAATGAAAAACTATGACGATGGGTTTTTTTTAATGACCATGACTATCTTATAATCAAAAACCATAATTAGCCATAAGCATGATAAGAAAAACAACACCATATAGCCAAAAGATAAATGATATTATTGCTGAAGATATAATCCATATAAGATTCCAGAATTGTTCACATGAATAAGAAATTTGAAAACAGGACAAAGCTCAATATTTTCATTTATATTATGCAGCCATTATGCTTATCTTTTGCTTATACGAATGCATCAAGGATTCACAATAGTATACAAAGATAAGAACTTAAAAGTGATATTGAATGAAAAATTTGAATTATTTTACAAGCTTTAGATTATTATTCAATATTTTCATAACTATTAAAGTCTGCCACTTAACTTGCGTTGTCATTTAGTTTCAAACTGAAAATGATACTTTATACTGATAAATATGTTGGAAATTGTATATACCGGTGTATTGAAGATTTTTATCCAGCCATTCTGGATCTGTTTGATCACTCCAGATTTTAAAATGGTGCAGAATATTCTTTTTATTATGACAAAGCTTATACACCATTTTAATCATCTACTGCCATTTTTGACATGTTAATTTTTATTTGCCCTTGAATTTAGTAAAGAGAGGACTTACAGCTAGCTAATTATAGATGTACACTTGCATATAAACTTTCCTTTGTAAATCAAAATTTATAAAATATTACTATTTATGAATTTATGTGAAAGGGTAACATATCAAATTATCAAATTTTAGCAGATGATAAGAATTGTAAAGTATTTTATTAGTATCTTATGCTAGTGTAAGTAATTGAAATTGAATAAAATTTGGTACAAGTCATGTATTGATATCAAAGTTGATTCCCTCACTTTTTTCAAATACTGGTATTGCAATTCTTTCCTAATGCAAGCATCCATGATAAGAGTACTGATGATTGACAACTGTCATGAAACTCTCAAAGGTGTTAGTATAAATTGGAATCACCTCCACCTTAATGCCAATCTTAATTGACCTCAATTGATATCTCTTGTATTGCATAATTGAATATGACACTTTATTATACAGCTTAATACACAATTTAAATAATATACCTATAAATGGAAAAAGTATGTGTAAAAATTAAGTGCACCTTCTAAAATTGAATTATCAAAATAATTATAGAAAGATTATGGAAATACGTATAAACCATTCATTTTCAGTGTCATATAATATTTTATAAAAAATCATCAAAGGATCTTAAGATGATAAACCTAATGCTATGCTAAGAAGTACTCCCAAAAGCAACCATTTTCAGGTGATTGCAAGCTTGGTTTTTTAGCTCACCTGGCCCGAAGGGCCAAGTGAGCTTTTCTCATCACTTGGCGTCCGTCGTCGTCCGTCGTCGGCGTTAACTTTTTACATTTTGAACTTCTTCTAGAGAACCACTGAATGGAATGAAACCAAACATGGCATGAATGTTCCTTATGAGGTGCTGACCAAGTGTTGTTACTTTGTAGCCGATCCATCATCCAAGATGGCCGCCAGCGGGGGACTAAGTTTAACATAGGACCCTATGGGAAATGCATACAAATGACTTCTTTTAGAGAACCACTGAATGGAATAAAACATAACATGGCATGAATGTTCCTTATGAGGTGCTCACCAAGTGTTGTTACTTTGTAGCCGATCCATCATCCAAGATGGCCGCCAGCGGGGGACTTAGTTTAACATAGGACCCTATGGGAAATGCATACAAATGACTTCTTTTAGAGAACCACTGAATGGAATAAAACCAAACATGGCATGAATGTTCCTTATGAGGTGTTGACCATGTGTTGTTACTTTGTAGCCGATCCATCATCTAAGATGGCTGCCATCGGGGAACTTAGTTTAACATAGGACCCTACGGGAAATACATACAAATGTCTTCTTTTAGAGAACCACTGAATGGAATGAAACCAAACATGGCATGAATGTTCCTTATGAGGTGCTGACCAAGTGTTGTTACTTTGTAGCCGATCCATCATCCAAGATGGCCGCCAGCGGGGGACTTAGTTTAACATAGGACCCTATGGGAAATACATAAAAATGTCTTCTTTTAGAGAACCACTGAATGGAATGGAACCAAACATGGCATGAAAGTTCCGTATGAGATGCTGACCAAGTGTTGTTACTTTGCAGTCGGTCCATCATCCAAGATGGCCGCCAGCGGGGGACTTAGTTTAACATAGGACCCTATGGGAAATACATACAAATGTCTTCTTTTAGAGAACCACTGAATGGAATGAAACCAAACATGGCATGAATGTTCCTTATGAGGTTCTGACCAAGTGTTGTTACTTTGTAGCCGATCCATCATCCAAGATGGCCGCCAGCGGGGGACTTAGTTGAACATAGGACCCTATGGGAAATACATACAAATGTCTTCTTTTAGTGAACCACTGAATGGAATGAAACCAAACATGGCATGAATCTTCCTTATGAGATGCTGACCAAGTGTTGTTACTTTGTAGCTGATCCATCATCCAAGATGGCCCCCAGCGGGGGACTTAGTTTTACATAGGACCCTTTGGGAAATACATAAAAATGTCTTCTTTTAGAGAACCAATAAATGGAATGGAACCAAACATGGCATGAATGTTCCTTATGAGATGTTGACCAAGTGTTGTTACTTTGCAGCGGATCCATCATCCAAGATGGCCGACAGCGGGGGACTTAGTTTAACATAGGACCCTATGGGAAATACATACAATTGTCTTCTTTTAGAGAACCACTGAATGGAATTGAATCAAACATGGCATGAATGTTCCTTATGAGTTGCTGACCAAGTGTTGTTACTTTGCAGTCGATCCATCATCCAAGATGGCCGCTAGGGGGGGGGGGGGGGGGGGGCTTAGTTTTACATAGGACCCTATGGGAAATACATACAAATGTCTTCTTTTAGAGTACCACTGAATGGAATGAAACCAAACATGGCATGAATGTTCCTTATGAAGTGCTGACCAAGTGTTGCTACTTTGTTGCCGATTTACTGTTCAAGATGGCCACCAGGATATTTTATTAAATAACGGGACCAATATTAATCAAAATTTGGCCTCAATCATTATTTGGGTATCTGTTATGATTTTTATCTATCTTTACATGATTTCTAAAACCAAAGTAGAGTCAGGTGAGCGACACAGGCTCTTGAGAGCCTCTAGTTTATCAACTGTTAAATAGATTATCTTTCTAAATTTAATGCCATAGTAATAAACAATTTTTTTTTGTTCACCACCATAACTGAAAATATCTTTTGAAATTATGCACTCAACCCTTCCTGTCTTTCCATCAGTGATTTAGATCACTTAGAGAAGTTAGATTGTCAGAAGTACCTCAGAAGAAGCACACTTTTTTCTCAGAATTTCATTGGCATTAACTTGATTAAGGAGTGATTTAAAAAAGGAAAGTACCTCTGGGAATTTTAAAGTGAAATAATGAAAACAAAGTTCTAAGTTTCAATCCTTGTGTTGTCCGTAGTAATACTAGTTATTAGTTTTATGATTTTAAATTGTCCCTGTGTATCTTCTCTCCCCCTTTTTTTTTTAATAGAAATTGTGTCCGAACACAAATTTATATTTTGGACCAAAATCACTTATCCCAAGTTCTGATGGTTGTCTTTAAATGTCTTACAGGAGTTTTGGAATAAAGAAACAAAATATGAGATCAGAAAAATTTTCCAACTAGCACAAATTAGGCTGGATCACAGCACTGATGATGTTTCACGATTTTGTCAAGCCAGAATGAAAGAAATAGACAAGGGGCGGCTTAAACTAGTTGTATAAAGCTAGATATTTCAAAAGGTTAAAGAACCAGATTCTTCATGCCTTGTATAGAGATGCCTTATGTGTTGAAGTTTCCGACTGGCATATGTCCATTGTCCTTGACCTTATTTTCATGGTTTACTGACTGTTTTATCTCACTAATTATGAGTTGTGGGATCGCAACATGTCCCTCTGGCAGGGTTAATATAATCATTACCTCATTTCATTGTTCAGTGATCAATGTTAAGTGTTTGTAATAAGGTCAGTGTCTCAGATACTATAAGTAATAATTTAACTATATATGGTGTTTATAACATTTGTGAGGTGAACATGTCTGTCTTGCAGGGTTAATCTGACCTTGACCCCCTTTTACATGGATCATGAAATACGTGTACCTGTTGTAAATCCTTAGTCTTAAAGACTTTAACCATAATAGTCAATTGTCATCAGTAAAGCAGGCAAGACATTTCACTGTGTGCACTCTTGTTTAGCATAGGCAGAAAATTTTCATTGTAGATCAATTAGATCATCGAGTGTTTGTATAGAGTTTAAATTAGATGGAAAAAAATATGACCTATTGCCTATACTAGGTACATGGATACACAGTTGTTGACTTATTACCTCAGATGAGTGAAGTGTTCAGGTTGAATACTGATTTATATTTTTTGTTCAAACTTTCTTTCCTTTTTTTACAGAATGAAGAAGAAATATTATTCGTGGGATGAGTGTTTAAATCTACGAGAAGTAAAGGTTAGTATTTTTAAAAAAAATTTCTTCTGTCCTTTTATAAGTTGTACCTACATATTCAAATGCATTCTCAACCACTTAGATACTTGTGATCGTAAAGGAGGTCCTATTATTCCATGAAATTTGAATTTAGTGATATCAAGTATCATAAGCTAAATTGAAAAAATGTAAAAGTATTTGGTAAAATACAAAATCATGAGGCATTAAAAAATTCCATCAGTTTTTTACTATTTTGTGATGACATCCAGTGTTCTCCCCAGGAATTTTGGATAGCATCACATTTGGCGTAAAAAAAAATTGTATTTATTTTTCAATGTCATTTGTTGCGTCGCGGCTATGCTCTCTTTCTTTTAAGTTATGTTGATTTTTTTCAATTCATAACTTAGAATACAATTAAAGTATAACTGTTCTTTTAGTTTATTTCTTTAATATTCATTTATAGTTACAGAATTATATTTTTCTTGTTAGAAACTACCAACTAAAAATCTAGTACAAAAGAGAACTTCTTTTATATCAAAAAGGAAAAGAAAGTATCATATAGTAATACCATTTCAATTAAAAACTATTCTGTTTATCATGTTCATGAAATTCATTATTTCCTGGGACTCAATGTATCAGTCCTAGTTGTTTCAAACAGATATATGTTTTTAACATTGTTAAACTACTTTAATCAGTAAATTAATTGAAACAATGCGTTTACATAGAAATAAATACATTTTGCAAGGAGATCTAACAAATAGTCTGTAAATTCGTGTGGAATGAGTAGCTTTCCCTATTGGGATCATTATTATTCTGTCTTCATAATTGCTTAAATTCAGGATAAACTATTTTTTGCCAAAATTGGGATGTTTTTGCCTCAGGGGGTTCACACCTATATATTGGTTAGTTTTTGTGGCTTCTAAGGGCCATTCAGATATAAGAAACAAGATTCTCGGAATGTCTTGAAAATTTTTCTATCATTAACCTATGTTGGTATTTATCTATGTCTGATATGGCCCCTCTATGGATAGACTTCCACGTGACATTGTATATTTCAACAATCAAAGTTCATTTGTAGATCAGAAAGTAAAGACTGGATTGCTGTAAAAAAAAAAAATCATTTATATATTCCAACCTATTTGACTTTCGACAGAACAAACACGTTTTAATGTGAAAGTTTATTAGATATCAAGCATAATGATAACACAATTATATATGTTTTGAGACATGTTGTGTTAACAGTATTTAAAACAACATGCTATTGTGCATTGTGAAAATAAACCTGGGAACAGAATACTTAACAATATATTATGTCCCAGAATAAACTGATTATAATTACCACCTGATATTTTGTATTGCCATCATAGTTTGAGCTAACCTGGCACCCTGGCCTAACCTCCCCTTCGCTTCAGTACTGTCGAGCAATGAGCCAGGATCCAAAGCTTTAGCCTGAGCAAATATCAGAAAGCAAACAGAAAATTAACAAAACGATATTTCTTGTTAAAAATATTTATCTAAGGTTGGAAACACAGTGTTCAGAAAGCAGAAAGATAATTAAACAAAACGATATTTCTGTCAAAAATATTTTATTTCATTAATAGGTACTAATTAATAACAGACCAAGGGAATATTCATTAAAATTATTAAGTTTTACCTGAAACTAAATTTATCATTACTAGAATATAATTAATAATGTTATAATATATTATGTCCCACAGGTTTTAACAGTGAATATTTTTATGAAAATTTTATGCAACATATGAGCACCCATTATCAGAGATGCACATAAATAAATTAGTATCTAAAATCTGAACTGTAGTGAATGAAAAAAAAAATAGTTGCATGGTTTCAATTCACAAGGATTTTAAATCCTTGCATCTCACAAAAAAAGTAATTATATTTTAGTATGGTTTTATTAATTTCTTCTTTTATTTTGTATAGCAATATATTCATAAAATGGGAAAGTTAGTCTCAAAGAAGAGATTGATTTAAAAAAATGTTCATCAGTATATACTCAAGATGTTTGTGTTTATTGATTGTACATTTGTATATTTTGAATTTTCAAAAAACATTGATTAACAGGAATGAATGTTAATTCAAATTTCAATTATTTTTTTGTTTTTAATAGTTCAACCTTATAGCATCTAAATCTTTGCAATATGGTGCAATTTTGAAAATTGTATGCATTGTGTTGACCAGTTATCCTACACACGTCTTGATTCATTTCCTTTAAATTACACCCTGTTCACATGACAAAATTAAATCAGATTTAAAATCCAATTGGAGAAAATTTTTGGTTTGCGTTCACACAAATTTTGGTTTGCGTTCACACAAATTTTAGATTAAATGGCATTGAATCCGGGGTCAAACCACTGGAGGCAGGTAGTTTAACATCAGAATTCAACTAAAATTAGTTTTGAGCCTATAATAAATGAATGTGATGATGCAAATGCATATTATAATCCAGAATATCAGTGTGTATGCTTACCATTTTCTATTTCTTGCACAAGTAAAGCATGTTCATCTGAAAGGTATTCTGACCTCTAGTTGTTTCTATTGTCTTTTTTAGCTCACCAGGGCCCGAAGGGCCCCATGTGAGCTTATGCCATCACTTGGCGTCCGTCGTCTGTCGTCGTCGTCTGTCCTCGTAAACTATTTAAAAAATCTTCTCCTCTGAAACTACTGGGCCAAATACCTTCAAACTTTAACTAAATGTTCCTTAGGGTATCTTGTTTATAAATTGTATCCGAAGTTTTGATCCATATACAAACATGGCCGCCATGGCTAAAAATAGAACATAGGGGTCAAATGCAGTTTTTGGCTTATATCTCAAAAACTAAAGCTTTTAGAGCAAATCTGACATGGGGTAAAATTGTTCAATTGGTCATGATCTATCAATTCTGAAATTTTCAGACAAATCAAACAACCCATTGTTGGGTTGCTGCCACCTAATTGGTAGTTTTAACAAAATTTTGCAGTTTTTTGTTATTATTTTGAATATTATTATAGATATATATAAACTGTAAGCAGCAATAATGTTCAGCAAAGTAAGTTCTACAAAAAAGTTAATATGACCATAATTGTCAATTGATCCCTTAAGGAGTTATTGTCCTTTAAAGACAATTTTACACAATTTGTTCATCAAGTTTGCCAACATTTAAAAATCTTCTCCTCTGAAATACAGGTGAGCGATTCAGGCTCTTGAGAGCCTCTTGTCTTGAGTGACTTTCCTTTTAACTTTTATTAAACATCCTTTGTTCTTTTGAGAGCATCTTCAGGTATTCATAAAACTTCTCAAAACAAGATAAATTAAGTTTTTCCTGTAGAATATTTGGATTAATTTAAGTTAGATCAGGAAATCCTTAACATTTGAGATGTATTATGAGACAAAAAAAATTGTCAGTATGTAAGAGGTCCTAATGAAGCTGGTGTGTTACTCTCAAGAACAAAATATGAAAGCTTCTCAAATTTGCATTACACAGAGTAAAACTTCACATGGAATTTGGACTTTCAATTTTTCTATACCACCTCTACCATGAGTACACACAGCTTCAATAATGAGTAAAAGAATAATTTATGGCACCCAGGAAACAAAATATGAAGATATGGAAATTAAAATAAATGCAGTCAGATTGTAAAGCAAACTGTGTGCTGCAGTTTATATTGTGATCAGTCTATCACTCTATGCAATTTGCTTTAGACATTTGGTTTGCAGCAACTGGGAACTGCAATAGGATTAGGACTTTGTATATTAAACACAAGAAAAAAATATGTAGACTTCTAAGTTATAAATAAAATAGTCAAGCCTTAAAAGGTAAAGTCAAATGGTAGCTGTATACACTTTTCTACAACAACTAAAAATCCAACAATGTGTGCTTTTTATGCCCCCGCTGTAGCGGTGGGGGCATTTAAGTTTTACCCTTGTCCGTCTGTACGTACGTCCCAAAATTGGTTTCCGTTCTTTAACTTGAGTTTGCCTCAACCAAATGTTATGAAACTTATACACAATGCTTATTACCACAAAACACAGATCAAGTTTGAATTTTGGTGGCGTCACTTTAACTGTTCTAGAGTTATGCCCCTTTATAAATGGAAAAATTACAAAATTTTATTTTCTGTTCTCTAACTTAAGTTTGCCTCAACCAAATATTATAAAACTTATACACAATGCTTATTACCACAAAACACAGATCAAGATTGAATTTTGGTGGTGTCACTTAAACCGTTCTAGAGTTATGCCCCTTTATAAATGGAAAAATTGCAAAATTTTTATTTTCTTCTAAATATCAAGTAATTTTTAAAATTGGAGTTATTTTCCTTTGTCCGTGATTATAGTTGAATCAACTACAATCAATGCTTTATACAGTGCAATGTTTAATTGTGACTTCTACTGATAAAACACAGATCAAGTTTTTGGGTAGTGTCACTTTAACCATTATTGAGTTATGCCCCTTTAAAAATCGAAAGATTGCAAAATTTTTAGTTTCCATTCTGTAACTTAAGTTTGCCCTAACCAAACATTATGAAACCTATACACAATATTCATAATCACAAACTAAGATCAAGTACAAATTTTTTGTTTCCGTTTTCTAACTTTAGCTTACCTCAACCAAATGTTATGAAACTTATACACAATGCTTATTACTACATAATACAGATTAAATACGAAATTTGGTGGCGACACTTTTACCATTCTTGAGTTATGTCCCTTTATAAACATAAAATTGCTGAATTTTTCGTTTCTGTTCTCTTAACTTTAGTTTGTCTCAACCAAATGTTATAAAACTTATACACCACCATTCTAGAGTTATGCGTGTTTACAAATAGAAAAATTGTTGCTGAATTTTTAGTTTCTGTTCTCTACTAAAGTTAGCCTCAACCAAATGTTATGAGACTTACACACAATGTTTATTACCACAAAACTCAGATCAAGTTCAAATTTGGGTAACGTCACTTTTACCGTTCTTCAGTTATGTCCCTTTATAACTATATGATATGCAAGCGGGGGCATTATCTGTGTCCACATGTGGACACTATCCACATTTATATTAAATTGATTTGTGCAAGAATCTACACACAATGACATATTTTCAATAAAGGTGTTTTAACATATCATTACCTTATTCTCATTACAGTCAATTATTTCAAATCAAAAGCAAATAAATCAGCAACAATTTTTGGTGACCAGTCAGCAGTCTCTTGTTCTTTCCTTTTTTTTAAAGTACGCAACTTGGTTTTTTTTTCGGACAACATTGGACACATAAACAGACCATCAAAAATTTGTATTGGTACTACCACACCCAAATGCGTCTTTCTATTACATATTCATTTTTGATGAAGGATGTGGCCAATATTTCCAAGAAAAAATAGACCTAAAAATGTACTTAGACAGCTTTAACTAAAAACCAGAATACTGTGATATTATTGAAGCCATATACACTGATATGACTGTCTAACATGGAGTTAGCAGACAAATTTTTTGTTTATTTCTATTTTGAATATTTTAGATTTTAGGTTGTATAAAACAAATTTCAATATTCAGGGCCTTTAGGCTTTCTTCATCTTACCCTTTTAGTTCGGCTTTTCTTCTTATAGCTCAAAAGATATTCTTATATTTTTATACATACATTGTATATTTTGCCATTGATGACATTGCTGTAAAAAAAATGCTTCTGTTTCATAGACAATGTAGACCAGGTCAATGATCTGTTCTCAGAGTTGAAATAAGAACATATATATGTAGTGTTTTTTGTTGCTGTTTTTTCTATGGACACAAACAAGAATTTTTGGAATACTTTGAACCTCTTTTGTTTATAAAAGTGTATACATTAAATTTAAACCTTTGATGAAAGATATAGTAGCACAGTCTTGATAAATATTTATAATTATATTGATTCCCATGATCTTAGACTTTAAATTTATTGATCTGTATTGACTATGACCTTCAGTAAAGTATATAACCTACATTTGTATTTAAATCTACCGTAGAAATATTGTTTTATTGCACTGTATGATCATTTTGAGCAAATATATACAAGTATATTTATTCATTCTTATATATTACGGATTACAAATGTGTCGAGTTTTGTGATTGGATAACAACACAGAGATGTCAGTATATATTCAGGAAACTGCCAGGGTATATACGACGTGTTTTACCCCAATTGGAACCTCAACAATGTCATCATAACGAACGTTACTATATGACGTAGTCTTAACCTATACAGTACACTTAAAGAATGCAGAGGCTCACAGAAGGATAATAATGACGTGTATTCGTCATAATACGTTTTTAATTTAAAATCACGCGATTTACACATCAAATAATTAATTAATGTTTTAAAGTGTCATTACAAATAAGTGCATAAATTTTCACAGCAAATTACAAAATCCTCCACGTATGCGGAAAATATATACGGCCTATACTGCATGGTGAATGTTTAACAAATACCTGGTACTGGAAAAAAAACATTAAGGCAGGGGTAATCCGTAATATACGGTAATTCAGGTTTCAGACAGGGTATATAATTTGACATTATATACCCTGTCTGAGACCTGAATAACATATAATATCCATGTTAATCATCAAGTCAAAACATTTATATTCTCTATTACCGGTAGTTCCTTGACATTAAAAGAATATGGACTTTGTTGTTATTTTTCTTTCATTCCTATGAAAATTTAAAGCCCAAGGTGAAAAACAGTAAATCATATCTTGACAAACATGTTTGCTGTTTACAGTTTCTCTCTATATATTATAATTTAAAAGGAGATGGCCAAACCCATTTTTTGCATTCTTGAATATTTTCTTGAAAACTATAATAGGTGAGAGAGAACAACAAAAATGATCATCTAGATAAGATCTATTAAGAAGCCAACATAACTTAATACAATAATGGTGAATATGAATATCAAAATGGCATATTTTGGACAGGGCGGTGATTCAGGCATTTAAGAGCCTCTTGTTTTCTTTTTATGGGTATACACTATAACAGTAGTTATCTTTTTTATGCCCCCCGCCATCATGGAGAGGGCATTAAGTTTTACCCTTGTCCGTCCGTACGTCCCAAAGTTGGTTTCCGTTCTCCAACTTTAGTTTGCCTCCACCAAATGTTATGAAACTTATACTCAATGCTTATTACCACAAAACACAGATCAAGTTTTAATTTTGGTGGCGTCACTTAAACCGTTGTAGAGTTATGCCCCTTCACAAATGGAAAAATTGCTGAATTTTTCGTTTCCGTTCTCTAACTTTAGTTTGCCTCAACCAGATGTTATTAAACTTATACACAATGCTTATTACCACAAAACACAGATCAAGTTCGAGTTTTGGTGGCGTCACTTAAACAGTTGTAGAGTTATGTCCCTTTACAAATAGAAAAATTGCTGAATTTTTCGTTTCCGTTCTCTAACTTTAGTTTGCCTCAACCAAATGTTATGAAACTTATACACAAAGCTTATTACCACAAAATACAGATCAAGTTTGAAATTTGGTAGTGTCATTTTAACCGTTCTAGAGTTATGTCCTTTACAAATGGAAAAATTGCTGTTTCCGTTCTCAAACTTAAGTTTGCCTCAACCAAATGTTATGAAACTTATACACAATACTTATTACTACAAAACTCAGATCAATAACAAATTTGGGTAGCGTTACTTTTACCGTTCTTCAGTTATGTCCCTTTATAACTTTATATTTTTTAAATAACTTATAAGAAAAATCATAAATTCAATGAAAAATAGGATACATGTAGGGAACTGCATCTAAGGAAGCTGACTTTGATAACTTTGAATTGTGAATTTTGACAAGATTTGATATTGATTTCCTTTCATTTCAGTCTTTAAGGAAATTGAACCATCCAAATATAGTTCGACTAAAAGAAGTTATACGAGAAAATGATCAACTGTTTTTTGTGTTCGAATTTATGAAAGAAAACTTATATCAGTTAATGAAAGACAGGTGAGTTAAGTTGACATTGTTATATACATATATACAAAGCAATTCATTCTGGACATTTACTCTGAGGTAAGAGATCCTGAGTAAAAGAACCTCTAAAGTTACCAAACGGACTTCAAACTCATAATTTGAAAATAAACTGACAAGGCCATGGCAAATTTACTTATTTATATATTTATGAGTAAATATTGTATAACCATACACCAGATTTATTGGTGAAGTGAAATTTACAATGTTATAACTGTACTAGACTCATCAATAATATTTATCATTACAATGTTTGGAGTTAAATTGCCTTTTACAATAACTTAATGTAAAGCAATGATGAGAACTATAATATCCAGTAAACTTGGAGAAAACTCTGTTTACTAGTACAAGCACTTAACTAAGAATGTTAGCTTTAGATGCCAAGGGCCTGAACCAGTTATTCATCTGTGCATGAATGTGAAGACATATTTTTAATTAGTAGCTTCTGCCTTGTTGAAAACCATGACCCAGTTTGTAGGCCTAGTGTTATGCTTTTCAAAAACAATTAGCAACAAAATGAAGTCTCAAATTTGTAGTTATAATATACGCTAATATATATTTAAAAGCAGCATTTTTCATGTGATGGTTGGAATTTAAAACAAGCAATAATTTACAACAGCCATTCTCTTACTATCTAAGTTTGAAAAATAAATCTTATTTTGTTACTTTTCAGAGATAAGTTGTTTCCTGAGTCAGTAGTACGGAACATCATTTACCAAGTTCTACAAGGTTTAGCATTTATGCATAAACATGGTAGGTAGGAGTTAAAGGTAGTTTTAAAGGTATTTTAAGGCAGATGTGCCTGATATACAGACATGTCTTATAAAGAGATAATTGCTATCTTTTCTAATAACTTCAGTGACCAGTAACTTAAAAATATGCAAAGTTATTAAAAGTAATCCTTCACGCTATAAACATTGTTATCTGTCATCCCACTGTCTGTATCACTCTGTTCAGCTCTTAATAAAGTTGCATATCACGACTTTGTGACGTCAAATACGTTGACCCAGCCTTAATAACTTTGACCGGGACATATCACCTACGTCATAATGAATGAATCGACGTTGATAAGTTTGACCCAAACTTATCAAGTTGTCTTCCAGTGTGTTGGTGAAACTCTTGTTTCTATCATGCAAAATACTCAAATACAAACCAATTAATCGATTATCTGGTTGTCTGCATATTTATATTGTAAAATATCAGCTGCTCAACACAATATGAAGCCTTTTTAAACTCGTTCGCTGCGCTCACTCGACAAAAAGCTTCATATTGTGACTAGCAGCTGATATTTTATACAATATCAATATGTAGACAACCCGATCAACAGATAATAAAAAGATGAAAATAATACCTCCTCTTTCAAGCTGTTGAAGGATGTAAACTGCTGAAATTCAATATACCGGTAACAATATTTTCATAAATGAAGTCTTTTTCAATATATTAAAGATGAACATTGTATAATACATCCAGATTAGTCCATGTGCGTGTTTTTAGAACTAACATTTAAAAAAGGACAATGGATCATTTGATTTCTGAAAAATTGAAATTTTCAGAATTTGAATTGTTTTATTTGCCAAATATATATTCTATTTATTATTTCATAATTCAGAAAGGTGAAAAATGCTAGAGCTGTTGGAGATTTAAGTTGATGTTAATACACTGTATGCTCATTTAATTATATCATATAATATTTTACAGGTTTCTTCCACAGAGATTTAAAGCCAGAAAATTTATTATGTACTGGCGCTGATTGTTGTAAAATAGCAGATTTTGGTCTTGCCAGAGAAATTAGGTCAAGGCCACCATACACAGATTATGTCTCAACAAGATGGTTAGTAAATGAATATTTTCTGAAAAATAAGTTTCTATATTTATTCATCTTCTTATAGAATGTACATGCAATCAAAATCAGATCACCAGACAAAATACTATATATGTTGCTACCAAAGGGCATGCACACCTCATGGTTTTAAATATGGAAAGTATTTTGCAACAATTATAATAATAAATAAACTGTACTGTATGTGTAAGGTTAATGTAACTGAATGTCTGCATCAATGAATTAACAGCTCAATGGCTATTTTGTAGTTTACTCTCTTCTGACATTGTTAAAAATCAAGTAAACCATGAAATTATTTGCCATACCTGAAAAAAAATGAAGGAATTTCCTCTTGTACATTATATAGTAGTTGAAACAAGGACCTTTAAAACATGCATGGGCAACCTGTTGAACCTCATCTGATTAAGATTAAACAGATAACTGTGTAAGAATTATTAATTTACCTTTTGATTTTTTAGGAGAGCATATCAATATTCATGATTCTATAATTGTAATTTTTTAGAGACTTAACCTGGAACTATGACTCGTCTGTAGATTTGTTGTAAACTTCTATGTTTATATTTAAATACATATATTTTTAGGTACAGAGCCCCAGAAATCTTGTTACGGTCTGTGAACTATAATTCTCCAATAGACTTATTTGCTGTTGGTGCAATAATGGCAGAATTATACACATTGAGACCATTGTTCCCAGGCACTTCAGAAATAGATCAAATATTCAAAATTTGCTCTATATTGGGAACTCCTCAAAAGGTGAGTGTGTACATACATAAGTTAAGAATTGAAGATGTAAAGGAGAATTCTCCTCTGTTGTTCTGTTATTTTAAAATGAAAAGAAAGACCCCAATTAAATCAATCTGCTAAACAATTGTACAATTAAAAGGTTTGGTTTTTGAAGCCTTCCAGCAGTTGCTAGAATATGCATAAAGATTTTTTCAGCTTAACAGTTTAGTTCTATTTTTAGTATAAATTTAACCTTTTATGATACTTAACCTAACATATCTTTGTATTCTAGGATGAATGGGAAGAAGGATATAAACTGGCTGCTGCAATGAACTTCCGTTGGCCTCAGTGTGTAACTACAAACCTAAAGACTATTATACCACATGCCAGTCCAGAATCTCTTCATCTTATGAAAGATATGTTATTGTGGAACCCCAGTAAACGACCAACAGCTAGTCAGGTATAACATAATCAGTAACATGTACTTACATTTACCTTATATCTGAACAGTATGAAAATTCTGAAAACAGAAAGTTTGAATAAACCTCCAAATTATAAGGTAAAGCTTACTACACTTGAAAGAGCTTCATGATGTATTTCTGTTACTTCAGTTGGTCCAAAAATTTGTAAGAGAAATCAATGAATATGTTGTACAACAATTTTAAAATGAATTTAAAAAAAAAGTTATATAAATAAAGGAAAAATAATAAGAGAAAGTTATAAAACACTATGTGGACACTTGCTTATGTGTACCTAAAATTGTTGAATTTCAACTTTAAAAATTTTCAATTAAGTCAACTTCACAGAAATGTTATTCTGACATGTCTAATTAAAGTGAGATATAAAATCTTTTAATGTACAAGCAGCAAAATAATATATTGTGTAATATTTTGTAGAGTCTGAAGTACCAGTATTTTAATGTGGGTCAGAATCTTGGCTTACAACAGACAGTCAGACCGTCACCAACTATACAAAATAATCCATCACCTGTCATTTCACCACAAAAACCAAAGCAAGAAGAGAAAATGTACAACTATAATCCATCTTTCAACCAAAATTCACCATATCACCAACCATCACCGACTCACCAAGCAACACCACAGTTCCAAGCATCACCACAACCATTTACTGAAAAGAAAAGTAACCCAATGGTAGCACCTTCATATGGAAAACAGATAGATAATGTAAGTAATAGGAAAATATTTCTGTTAAACGTTGCAAAATTTTTATTATTAAGTGTTTTCACCAAGCTTTCTTGTAACTGAAAAAAAAAATCAAAGAAAAGAAAGCATTTAAAACAACAATATGAGTAACTTTTCTTAGTCTGAAATAAAAAAAAAAGTTGAAAAGATATTAAATATTTTGATTTTTCAGCTTCCAGTTATTTATAAAAATGTTACTATTGAAACTTTAAAAGACATTAATCTAGTAAATCCCATCCTGCTTACATAAAGAATTTATTATAGGTAAAACACATTCTTAAAGGACAAAGAAACTAACAAAGTTAATTGACCTCAATATCTTCTAACATTTAAAAGCTTGCAGCTAATTCATGGAAGAAAGTCCTCAACAACAAAATAATTAAATGTTGTTACCACATAAACAAGAACTGATTTCTTTGTAATTTATATTATAGGATGCATTTGCTGTGTCAGTAAAGAAAAAACCTCAGCAGAGTGGAAGAAAACGTTGGGGGGCTGGATTGTCAGAGACGTGGGATGATTGGGATGACTTTGACTTTGGTGCACCAAAAAAGCCAGCACACAAACATGTAGCAGCCAAACCTTTACCGTCCATTGGTCCCAAAAGGGATGTGTTTGGTAAAGAAAATGATGATGAAGACGACTTTTTAACGTAAGTTATGATTTTATACTAAAAATGAATACTGGTAACAATATGTAAAGTGTATATTACAAATTTAAGCATTTTGACATTTGTTTGTTTAATGATATTAAAATTAAAAACTGAATAATGTTTTTGTTTACAGACTTGTGATTTGTATTGTGCAGATTTATCACTGTTTATACATATGAATATCTTTCTATATTTTTGACTCTATTATTTCAGGAGTATATTAAACAAGAAGAATGTAAATAAGGCTCAACCCCGTGTTCCCTCTGGAAGATCATCTGCTTCTTCTGCAAAAAATCATTATCTTAGTAAATCACGATACCTGCCAGGTGAGAAAATAATTTATAAAAATCAAGATTAAAGGAGAGAGACCAAGTGTAGGAGATAAAATTCACTGGGATGATTTTGTTGTCCATTTTTATCAATATATCCTAAGCTTCTAAATAATACAGATAAACTTCTTTTTGTTACTTGATTGCTTACAGGTTACAAGAGTGCAATTATTCTTAATGCATTTTCCATAGAGTACCAGTGGTGTTCCGTATTTTTTTTTCTGGAAGACTACACAAACTAGGGAAAAACAGGTAGCAGTTCCTGTTACTAGAAATGCCAGTGTTGCATTACAACCAAAAAAATAAATATGGTCGTGCGGCAAAAATTGACTTAAAATATAGTTGAAAAAGATCGTCTATATTTTTTGCTTAATGAAAAAGGCATATTTTTAATGGCCCCGACATGCAGAAATGGAAGATATTTTCTATACTTTGCAAAATGTGAATTTGATTTTCTGGATTTTTTAAACCTAAATGGATAAGCTTTCGATTAAAAGTAATTCCAATTCTGTATCATCCAATCAGAAGCCGTACAGGATTCTATTCTGAGTACCATCTTGGGATAAAAAACTTGCCAGTAAAATGTAAACAAATAATTGCGCTCTTGTAACCTACAAAGCACTGATAAAAGTAACTATAACATACACATTACTAATTTAAAGAGTTATATCACATGATCCAGGTCTATCCCACTTAATTTCTTCATGGAATTGTTATGTGCATTGATTTGATAGTGAAGATTTTGTATTTCAAGACAAATTCTAAAAAAAATTGTTTACATATATCATATAAGAGAATGTACAGTTACAGGGGACATAACTAAAAAATATGTACACTGTCAGAATTTTAAGAAACAATAATATTACTCTTTTTTTCAACAACAGTACAATAGAATACAATTCAAGGCAACAAAGGTATCAATCAATAAATTAAAAACTTAATGACTTGAGATATACCATTTGATATGGTTGTTCTGGTTTTGTGGCTCTGGTTGGAAATCAAATACCTTGTCTCATTTCAGCATATTTTAAGTTTTGCAATAAAGTTGAATGGATCAAGCATTTAGCAAAATTTTAAGATCACCATAAGTATACTGACATATGAATTATTTGTTTATTACATTTATCAGTATAAATGATATGAAAAAGGAATCATGGACCAATTTGAGCCAACTTTGCCTTAAATAATTTTGGAGAGTCTATGAACATAGTAAGATTAAGCATATGTTCTTGCCAAATAAAAAGCTTAGGTACTGTTACTAGGAAAAGAAATTAAAAAAATGGAGCTAAAGATACCAAAACTTAGGGGGGATCTTAGATGCTCCTGAGGGCAAGGAAGAGCTTGGTAAAACACAAGTCTCTGACATTTTAAAGATGCTGATGAAGGTAAATCAAGAAAAGCTTGTCAGACATACCAAATTTATAAAGTGTTATTTGTAGTAATTATGAACAAATTAAATTAATTGGCTTTAAAGATATCCCAGGCCCTTTTTAAATTATATCTGATGACCTTTTTGTGCCAACATAGATTGTTATTGTAGCAAGAACAAAATACTGAGCAATAACAAATTTCTTTAAGGGTATCATATTAACGACATTGAATTTAATGCTTAGCATGAATCATATTGGATAATCAAGGATGTTTAATTTTTTAAACCCTTTAGGTATTTGATTCAGGAACAACCTTCAGTTTAAAGATCTATTTTGTGAACATAATTATACATTTACCATATATCCATCTCAATTTCAATTTATGATAATTAGTTGGTAGCTAACATTTTTACCTGAATTTTGTCATAAATTTTCCAGGTGTAATACGCTCGTCTATAGTAATAGTTGGTAATTAATCACCTGCATGGCTTGGTGTCTTCTGCTGTCAGAATGTCTTTGCTTTATCTTACTTAATATAAATACTTACGCAACACAAGTTCTACTTTATTAATAAAAAAATGCTAGTTTTAAGATTTTTGACAACATGAATATGAAAACTAAAAAATGCACAGGATTTTCTTGATGTTTTTGCACCTTATCAGTATAATTTGAACAAAAAAATCTCTCTTGTTAGTCAAAAAGTAAACTGTGTTCACCTTAAATATTATTTAACAAGAAAAATTAAAAGAGTAGAAAAATGTCAACGAAACCCAGTTTATGAACCCTTAAGCTATTGAATAGATGCAATGTAAGTAAGTTCACACCAAAAGGAGGAAAAGAAAACAGAAAATTGTGATTTAATTATTGGATTTCAGAAAATGAGATGAAAATATAAAACAAATTAAACACACACTGATCCAAAAGCAATATAAATAGTGTGCTTTTCCAAATTTTCACCATGTTATATATTTGTTGATTTTTATCTCAGCGAACAACTTATTCATTGTTATTTGTGATATTTCAGGTATTAATCCAAAGAGCAGTGCCAAAAAAGAAACACCAAGCTACGGTGCATTATTAGGTGCCAAGGCATCTCCTGGTGGAATCTCAAATGTCAGCAGGCCTTCAATAGGTATTAAAGTAATATCTTAAGATTGATTTTTATGCCTCTCCTAGGGACATTATGTTTTTTTCGGTTTGTGCTTCCTTTTGTTTGTCTGTCCATCTGTCTGTCTGTCCCGCTTCAGGTTAAAGTTTTTGGTCAAGGTAGGTTTTGATGAATTTGAAGTCCAATCAACTTGAAACTTAGTACACATGTTCCTTATGATATGATCTTTCTAATTTTAATGCCAAATTAGAGTTTTGACCCCAATTTCACAGTCCACTGAACATAGAAAATGATAGTGCGAGTGGGCAGGTTAAAGTTTTTGGTCAAGGTAGTTTCTGATGAAGTTGAAGTCCAATCAACTGGAAACTTAGTACACATGTTCCCTATGATATGATCTTTCTAATTTTAATGCCTAATTAGAGTTTTTACCCCAATTTCACGGTCGACTTAACATAGAAAATGATAGTGCGAGTGGGGCATCCATGTACTATGGACACATTCTTGTTCTAGGTGACTTCCTGGTTAAATCCTAAATATAAACCTAAGATATTATTCAATTATTATGCAGTAGTGTAAAAATCTTTGTTTGTAAGAAATTCCACCCTCCTATAAAGTCTTATACAGAATTTTTATAGTCCAAAACAAAAATGATTACAACACAGCTTTTTTTTTTACCAGAACTTTAATAATTACTATTTCTTTAAAATGAGATGCAAATTATTATGATTTAACTGTTGTGAATATTTTAAATTAATATATTCTACCCTACAATGTTTTGTTTACCACTAGACATTAACTTGCATAAGAAAAACAACATCTTATACAAAGATTTAGCTACTGTAACACAAACAAGACTTGCTACATATACAAAACATTGAAAACCAAAGTGTAATCTATGCAGACAGAGAACTCACTGGAAACCATGGAAATTTAAAGTTTTTAAACTGAGGTCATACATGTTTCAATATCTGTAAGTTACATGCAAGCCTTTGCTATATTTCTACATTTACCTTGATTTCCACAATTATAAACTGAAATATGATGATAACACTTATTTTTGTTGATGATTTTTAAAATAATATTAAACTACTTACACCTAAAATGTTTATATTTACAGGTCCAATAGGAAGTACAAGAAATAATGCAGATGCGGGATATGTTCCTTCGTTTATGTCAACCACAAAGAACACAAGTAAGGCTCTATAGGATTAAACAGAAGCTCAATTCGTTTTGTCTTCAGTAATTTCACTGAAGAGAACTTTTATGCTATCAGTTAAATTGACCATAGTTTGAGTACATTATTACTTTGGTAAAGGTATTTAAAATAAAGTTTTAATTCATGATGTGTTTTCCTTTGAATGCAATGGATCCAAAACTAATTCCATATATAATTGATTTATAGATAAATTTACATATGTATATATTATAGATTACCCACCAGTTAGTTGGAAGAGGGCACAGCCAGGACCTTTATCTATGAACAAGAACTCAGCAGGACTGGGTGGTAAACCTGTAGGGGGTGGTACACATGGACGCACTGACTGGGCTGCTAAGTAAGTTCTATTAAATGTTATTCGTGAATCGAGTTATGTAAGTACTCAACAATTCCCTTTTGCTTTACCATATGCCAGAACAAATAATTCCAAAAAGCATTATATTTGATAAAATCTTTACTTGTATTATGGACTAAAAGAAATACAGAGGTTAAAATGTTGGCAAGCTCAAATTAATTTAATTTATCAATAATGAAAGTGTTCATATTTACATTCGAACACTGTTTGTTGTAAATTAAACTACTACAAGCTACTCATTTTTATTAATTATTGTATTTTAAATGAGCTTAATTCATGTTTTGTATGTTTCTATTTTCAGGTATCTAAAGTCATGAGAAGAAGTTGACATTAGGTGTTGTTCAAACAATCAAGTGCCACACAACGTCCACACACTGTGATACATTGTTATTTTGTTGTTATTTTGTCTCATACTTTTTGTTAAAGATTCTTGTGTCTTACATGTGGGGAATAAACATTATTCTATTAAATGATCCAGACAATATTATGTCTGATCGAGGGTGGTTTTGAGATTAGATGTAGTCTGTAAGGATAGTACATACTAAAGATTTCTTGCCACTAACATCATGATGTAGTTAATAACATTTATAAATCAATTTTTCCTTTCAAGTACTGGATTTATAATTCTTTTGGATTTTTTGTTGATTTTTTTTTTTATTAACTGCATTTTTGTGCCATTAAATATTTATTAAAACGGGAAAAGTAATAGAAAGTTTGAAGAAGTTAACTTAAAGTTAAGAGGAATATGAAATATATGTATTTAGGTAATATGGTATTGAATTTGAGCATGTAACATGGAAAACCTTTTCTAATCAAGATTAAATGGGTTTCTGTATTGTTTTATTGTTTGTGAAAATGGTAAATCTAAAAAGATCTTTGAAGTGCTTAATAAGAAATATTTATTTATACTGTGCTTTTGTTTGAAAATGTCAATAAGTAAAAAAAGAAGTAAAATGTATGAGAGAGGTAATACCTGAGTGATTTAAACTTCAGTTTATCGTAATATAAGTGAAAGAAAGTTGCATTTTTTGTCTTACACTTCCACTCAACTCTATAAGACATTTTATTCTTTTCTTCTCCTCTCATGAAACTATATGCACAGGTTTGAACATCTTGGGCAAGCTGTTCAAGTGTCATACTTTGTGGCAACACTGCTTCCTATTTAGTATCCTGTTCAATCATATTTTTAAATGTTCTGAAATACTCAGTCTATCTGAAGAGTAAAGTTACCATAAAAGATGTACAGAAGGTTCTCATTGAAAAGTAGAACCAATGAAAGGTGTACTGTGGATTCATTATTATTCGTTGGATACCAATTTTCGTGGGCTTCGTGGGGACATTTTAACCACAAATTCAAATGTTAAACGAATAACAAATTTCTAAAGGCTTTGTATGTAGAGATTCGCAAAACCACGAAATCAAATACCCACGAAAATGCAAGTTTTCCTCAATCCACGAAAATTGATACCCGCGAAAATAAATGAATCCACAGTAATTGCCACAGTAAAATTGTTATAGAAGGTTAGGCTGTGTCTTTATTCTAGTAAGTAGACAGGATCAACTATACTTCATGATTTGTGTTACGTGTGTCCATTTGTTAAAAATATGGTTTTCAGGGTAATTTACATTCCTAATTTCATTTCATTTTATGTATACTTAAAACAAGTTGCAAATTCAGAGCAGTTAGTTTTTTTCCCAATACATAATTTTAATACAGGCCATACCTAATTGTAACTGCAGATTCTCTAGCTTAGACACTAGTCATTCTAATGTAAATTTTATGGGAATTGGCTTTAGCTAAACATTATGTTCATTGGAATTTGTTTGTCTTTAAAGTAATGGGTATATTACATGCACGCAAAGTCATAGCTATTGTCTTCCTTTTTTATGCCTTTTGAAGCTCTGAAGACTAATCAAACTTTATTTTCAATTTTTTTTAATAAGCTTTTTAATCAAATATACTCTCAGATCATGCATATAATGCTACTTAAGTGTATCATCTCACATTATGTAGACAATTTCTCAGAATGAAATGTGGATTGATAAATTGTTAAATCATGTATCAAGAGATTCTTTAATTTATGGAGTGACCTTCAAACTTTACTTGGTTTGAAAAGGTGTCTTCACTTGTTAAGATTTGTACATAGTTGTTGCACCTTTGTTGTTGATTACAAATTTACTCATTTGCATGTCATGTTTTATTACAGAAATAAGAATCATATTTTATTGCAAGGTTAAATGATGATTCTTCAACTATATTATTTCAGAACAGAACTTTACATTTAACTTGAAACCTGTGCTAGTTAAGCTAATTTTCAGTAGAGCCAACTTTCTGATGTTTGTCCTTGGGGAAAAACTATACATATATAACAGGGCATTGTTTTCTTTTAGTGGCGCATAAAGATAAGCTATTAATTTTTTTGGATGGCGTTTGGAAATAAATCAATGTAGCATTTTGAATTTTGCAGAGTTGTAATATATTGTTTTGATACTTGGAAACTTTCTTTAGACTACCTCAGTATTTTTTTATTATTATGGTGTTGTATAAAGATTAAGGGTTATGACCAGAATGTTTTGAAAAAGTTCAGTGGTTTTCTCCAGTCACCCTAGCTTCATCCACCAATAAAAACTGACTTCCACTATATAGCCAAAAGTACTGAAAGTGGCATTAAACGCCAACAATCAATCAATCTAAAAAATGGAAGTACTATAAAACATTTTCCCACTTTAATGAAGAAACCTGTACAGTTAGTAGTTCTTTAAATCAGTTTTCATGAAATGTTTCAGTTGCATGAAAACTTTAGCTAGTGCCATACAATATGATAGTTTTGCACAGAGAGAAAGTTGATTTTTCTATACAATTGATTCATTATTTTTTAAAGGTAATGGTTCTTATATGCAGTAACATTTCATATTGAAGAATCATTTTAATATTTGGAGGGGTTTTGTTGTCTTAAATGATTTAGAAGAAGACTGTTTGTTGTTGATAAGAAAATAGCCAATTACAGTTAAAACATGAGTAAGTGACACTCAGTTTATATACTACTATCTATATTCATTATTGGTATTTTTTTTAGACAAAATGAATAATGGCTTTAGACAAACACATGACAGTCTAAATTAATAAACACATTTTTTTACATATTATAAAAAAATACCATATCAAATATTACTTGAACATGTTTTTTGAGAGAGAATACTAGGGAGAAAGTAGACTGATGCATGGTAAAGAGAGTGCAGTGATTTAAATGTTGTTATTTTTTTGTTTTATATATATTAAAATTTCAGACATTTGTACTTTACTTAAGCATGAATTATGATGTAGTATCATTTATGATCAAGAAATATGGCATATAGTTATTATATGATCACACCAAATAAAAAGAAGTTGAATTTCAATGTTTTATTTCTTTTGTACTTAAAATTAAAGGAGCTAAAAGCACAAGACGTGCCACTATATATTTGTGTGTGTCACTGAATAAGGACATCTTATATATATTTTTATACGACCGCAAAAAAATTTTGTGGTCGTATATTGGTATGACGTTGGCGTCGTCGTCGTCGTCGTCGTCGTCGTCGTCGTCGTCCGGCGTCGTCGTCGTCGTCCGGCGTCGTCGTCCGAATACAAATTGGTTTTCGCACTCTAACTTTAGTTTAAGTGAATGGATCTTTTTGAAATTTGACCATAAGGTTAAATACCACAAAAGGAAGGTTGGGATTGATTTTGGGGGTTATGGTACCAACAGTTATGGAATTAGGGGCCAAAAAGGGGCCAAAAATAAGCATTTTCTAGTTTCCAGACAATAACTGTGGAATGGTGTATGGATCTCTCTGAAATTATACTACAAGTTTCCATACCACAAAGGGATGGTTAGGATTTGCTTTGGGGGGTTATGGCTCAAACCGTTTAGGAATTAGGGGCAAAAAAGGGGGAAAAACAAGGTTGTCCTGGTTAATGGACAAATACTTTAGTACAAAACATAATTTAAAGCAGTGTAAGGGAGATAAATCAAATACATCATTGAAATTATCTCCCTTACACTGCATTTAAATTATGTATAAAGTAATGGTTAATGAACAATAAAGATAATTTAAAACAGTGTAAGGGAGGTAATCCAAATACAACGTTTTGGTTACTTCCCTTACACTGCTTTTAAATTATGTTTAAAGAAATGCATATTTATAAAGGAAGACCAGTAAAAATATCTGCAAATGTTGCATCTTTTTTTTTTACAAAAAAATCCATATGAAAGATTTGACACTATATTTTTAATTCTATTATAAAATAGATTAAGTTAGCACTATGGTAAATTTAAATGGGTAATTATGGTTGCCAACTCCATTGGAAATTTGAATTGAGATTATGACCATATCTTATGGGAAAGAATTTTTGGGGGAAAAAAGGGAGGGGGGGGGTAAAAAGAAATTCTGGGGGGTCAATTTTTTCTCATTTCAGATTTCAGAAATTAAAAAGAATTACTCTTCAAATATATTATTTTTTTTTCAAATTTCAAATATTGAAAAATTTCAAGAAGTAATCTTTAATTGCACAGTATGGCGCATTGGATTTGTAAAATCTTTGATCACATTTATTTATTTGTTATGCTGAATCTAACAGTGTATTTAGATTTTTAATTTTGGGTCCAGTTTTCAAATTGGTCTACATTAAGGTCCAAAGGGTCCAAAATTAACCTTTGTTTGATTTTAGCAAAAATTGAATATATGAGGTTCTTTGATATGCTGAATCTAACCATGTATTTAGATTTTTTTTTGTGGACCCCGTTATCAAATTGGTTCATATTGAGGTCAAAAGGGTCCAAAATTAAACTTTGTTTGATTTCATCTAAAATTGAATTATTGGGGTTCTTTGATATTCCAAATCTAACCGTGTATTTAGATTTTTAATTTTGGGTCCTGTTTTTTTAAATTGGTCTACATTAAGGTCCAAAGGGTCCAAAATTAAACTTAGTTTGATTTTAAAAAAAATTGAATTCTTGAGTTCTTTGATATGCTGAATTTAAACATGTATTTAGATTTTTTATTTGTAGGCCCCGCTATCAAATTGGTTCATATTGAGGTCAAAAGGGTCCAAAATTAAACTTTGTTTGATTTCATCAAAAATTGAATTATTGGGGTTCTTTGATATGCCAAATCTAACCGTGTTTTTAGATTTTTAATTTGGGTCCCGTTTTTTAAATTGGTCTTCATTGAGGTCCAAAGGGTCCAAAATTAAACTTAGTTTGATTTTAACAAAAATTGAATTCTTGGGGTTCTTTGCTATGCTGAATCTAAACATGTGTTTAGATTTTTGATTATGGGCCCAGTTTTCAAGTTGGTCCAAGTTGGGGTCCAAAATTAAACTTTTTTTGATTTCAACAAAAATTGAATATATGGGGTTCTTTGATATGCTGAATCTAACCATGAATTTAGATTTTTTATTTGTGGGCCCCGCTATCAAATTGGTTCATATTGAGGTCAAAAGGGTCCAAAATTAAACTTTGTTTGATTTCATCAAAAATTGAGTTATTGGGGTTCTTTGATATTCCAAATCTAACCGTGTATTTAGATTTTTAATTTTAAGTCCCGTTTTTTTAAATTGGTCTACATTAAGGTCCAAAGGGTCCAAAATTAAACTTAGTTTGATTTTAGCAAAAATTGAATTCTTGGGGTTCTTTGATATGCTGAATCTAAGCATGTGTTTAGATTTTTGATTATGGGCCCAGTTTTCAAGTTTGTCCAAGTTGGGGTCCAAAATTAAACTTTGTTTGATTTTAACAAAAATTGAATATATGGGGTTCTTTGATATGCTGAATCTAACCATGTATTTTGATTTTGGACATTGGACCATAATAGGTAAATTAAAAAAAATCAAGTTCTTAGACCACATTCTTTCTGTGTCAGAAACCTATGCTGTGTCAAATATTTAATAACAATCCAAATTCAGAGCTGTATCAAGCTTGAATGTTGTGTCCATACTTGCCCCAACTGTTCAGGGTTCGACCTCTGCGGTCGTATCAAGCTGCGCCCCAGCGAAGCATTTTATTTTAAATTAGATAAATATACTGCAAAAAAAGCTGGTATTTTCTTAAATCATGAAAATTTAATAAAAATAAATTATTTCCAAAAAATTTTAACACAAATTTAGAGAATACTTTTTGTAAAGATGATATTCCACATCATTTTACAAAAATCCGTATGTGTTTATATTTTGAAAGAAAAAAGTTAAGTGTGTATGTCCAGTGGATAGAAATGTCCATAGAAACCAAAATTTTTAGTAAATGTCTAAAAATTTCGACCCCATTTATCTCAAATGTAGCACATGATGTTATATTTTTTTATTACATATTTAAATTGACTAGGTGGAAAATAGATTGTATACCAATTTTCGTTAAAAAACCAATGTGGGATCAAAACTGTATTGTGTGCCCTTAATGGACTATTCATCCATACATGAGATGAGGTGAAAGAGCTGGGGCGTGTTTTATTGGTCTCTTCTGCACATCTTCAGAATGTCTTCTGGTGAAGAGTCCAAAAAAATGAATCTGGACCTCTTCTGGAGATATACAACGGAAGAACAATAAAACAAAAATTCAATTTGCCGTCGAATATAGCAGATTTTTGTTATGTTGGATGACATATTAAATGAAGTTTACGATGATTTTATAGAAAATTAAGATACGTCCGTTAGACATGACTGTAAAAGTGTGCTTTGTTAGTGACATTTTTCTTTGTACTTTCCTCTAACAAAATTTTGCCAGACAAATCAGGCGTAAACCCCCACTATTTGATTTTTAAGAATAACCTTAAACTGCACAAAAACTTGTCAATGTTTGTCTCGAACGATCAAAAAGGTCATATTGTCTATCCAATTTTTTTAAAGTAACCAAACTGGATTATATATATTTTTGGGAAGCAGGACAAATCGCCCCACACCAAATCACCCCACTTTTTCACCAACTCGCCCCACTTTTAAAAAATCGCCCCAAACTGGTTTACCAACTCGCACCACTTGTGAAAAGGGTTAAATCCCGTTAATTTTTCTCCTGCCAATTAATTAACTCGCCCCACTTAATGAAATAATGTAAACCTAGATGAATATATAATTTCAGGTCTGCCAACTCGCCCCACTTAACTAAAAAAATCTTATACAAAAAAACGAAAATTTACTTAATCATTATTATTGACATTGAGTTGGCATGACTCAACTTGATTCATCAGGTATTTTCTATTTTTCATAAGTGGGTCGAGTTGGCATTACTCAATTCATCAGGATTTTTCTATTTTTCACTGGTTGGGCTAGTTGGCATTCACGTCACAGAAAATACTGATACTCACTTCTTTATGCTTTATTTCAACAAAAAGAAAAGAACTACAAAATAGATATAAGAAGATGTGGTATGAGTGCCAATGAGACAACTCTCCATCCAAGTCACAATTTGTAAAAGAAAAACCATTATGTATAGGTCAAAGTACTGTCTTCAACACGGAGCCTAGCTTGGCTCACATCGAACAGTCAGCTATAAAGGGCCCCAAAAATGACTAGTGTAAAACCATTCAAACGGGAAAAACATGTGTATCTAAGGTTTTAATAGGTATTGATTTCATTTATAATTGGGGCAGGAACATAGATATACAACGGGATTGCATCTTTTTTCATAAGCGGGGCGAGTTGGCATTAATAAATTCATCAGGATTTATCTATTTTTCACAAGTGGGCCGAGTTGGAAGACCTTATATCAGAGGGATTTTTTCCCCTTTTCATAAATGGAGCACTATATTCAACCTATTTTCAATGGGATTTTTTCCTTTTCATAAGTGGGGCGAGTTGGTAAACAAAAGTGGGGCGATTTTTAAGAAAGTGGGGCGAGTTGGTGAAAAAGTGGGGCGATTATGTGTGGGGCGATTTTCCAGAGGGGCGATTTGTCATGGATTCATATTTTTGTATAAAGCAAAGATATCGGAAAGTTCTCAAAATCATTTTTCTCTGGTGGTCCTTGAAGAAAATCTTCTGGTCCTAACTATTATTTCTATTGCATAATTTCGATGGTCAAAACCTTCGGACCACCACTTTTCAAAAAATTTCATTGTATATGGATCTATATGCAAGTATACAATGTATACCAGACATTTCTTAGACTGTTTTTTCTTCTTTTCTTTTTTAATAAATCCGTTGGTTGTGTACTGATTGATACTTCAGTCTGGGAGAACAAGATTTATTTCAGTACTATAGTTGTAATTAGCTTTGAACAAACTTCCAGTAATTGCAAATACTCTTATTTCGGTGCTTTGTGTCTTGTCTTAACGTAAGTTTTTTTTGTGTGTCTCGTACCGATCTTTTGAGTTAATCTAATTGCAATTGATTTGTGCAGGTTGTTCTTATATTGTACTATTACACCACT